TTAAATCTTTATTCATCTATCAGTTCTTCATGAGTAATATAACTGCTAGTTTAGGCCACTTCCTTTGCAACAACACTTCCAAGTAAGATATAATTGTATATAGAACGCACTCTAAATCTAGTATAAAGTATGCTAACATTGATATTGAAACTAGATTAGATTTTAGAGCATAGCCTGGACTCACTCACGAAGATATTACCATTCTTGGTAAATTTATTTACCATTTACCCTTATAGTCATCATTAGTCTGAAGGTATTTCGGGGAATTCACACTTCATCTCTTTCTGTTGTCTGCCTGATAATTCAAGCAAATCAACCTCGATGAGGAGAAATATTAATGTGATGTAAAATACAAATTCATAATGGATCATCCAGCAAGGGCGTTTCATGGATCCCAAGTCTGGTCTTCGCCTGGCAGGTTGGAGGCTCATTTGGGGCTTAGATCATAAACTAAAGGCTTGTACTTTTATGTATGTTTAGCATCACATACACAACGTAACACACGCCATGAAAGATATATACATATACATACATACATAATATATAATATATATATATATATATATATATATATATATATATATATATATATATATATTATATATATATAGAGAGAGAAGAGAAGAGAGAGAGAGAGAGAGAGAGAGAGAGAGAGAGAGAGAGAGAGAGAGAGAGAGAGAGAGAGGAGAGAGAGAGAGAGAGAGAGAGAGAGAGAGAGAGAGAGAGAGAGAGAGAGAGGAGAGAGAAGAGAGAGAGGAGAGAAGAGAGAAGAGAAGAAGAAAGAGAGAGAGAGAGAGAGAGAGAGAGAGAGAGAGAGAGAGAGAGAGAGAGAGAGAGAGAGAGAGAGAGAGAGAGAGAGAGATCAAAGGAGCCCCAAACGCCTTGATAGACCCTTGGGCGTCCCATTAAACAGCCTTTGAGTTCGCCCTTCTCTCAATGACGAACTTCTGCTCGCCAAAGAGGTTTCTCGGAGACACCTCCACGCCCTCAGGAGCCGAGAAGGAGAAGTTCTTCAAGAGTGCCGCTGTGAAGATGAACAGTTCAACATTGGCGAGCTGTTCTCCAAGGCAGACGCGTCGACCTAGAGTGAACAAATAGGATGTCATGATAACGAGACTTTGTTTACTTCAGTTCCTATACGGAATTAATTTCACAGACAGATTAATTCAAGCGAGACTATAGAATGCGTTAATTAGATTCATAGACCATATAAACAACACTAATAAGATGTTGACTAAAATTCTAACAGTAGAATAAACACTTATTACCAATCAGTCATCAATTATATCAATAATGTCAATCTTATTTCATAACATAGCTGATAAATCTTGAGTTAAAAGTTTAATGTCATTGATATAAATGTTTCATAAAACAAATCAAATAATAATTATGGTAATCAGCGTCCAACAGTACCACCAATAATACTTAAATAACTTACAACAATGGAAATACGGACACTGGAGATATAACTGGTAACAGCAACAGCAGGAATGTTAATAATGATAACAACAATAACATAAGTAGTAATCATAACAATAATGATAACAACAATAACATTCATGATGATGATGATGATAATAATGAAGATAATAATAGTAACAGTAATAATAATAATAATGATAGTAGCAATAATAATGATAATAATGATAATGATAATAGTAATAATGATAATAATAATGGCAAAAAAGAAGTAATAGTAATGACAATAATAATAGTAATAACAATAATTATAATGATAATGATATTATGATGATGATGATGATGATGGTAATAATAACAATAATGATAACAATAATAATAGCAATAATGATAACTATAATAATGATAACAACAATATCAATAACAATAACAATAACATTAATGATAATGATAATAGTAATAAAGGTAATGATAATGATGATGATAATAGTAATATTAATGATAATAATGATAGTAAAGATAAAAATAGTAATAATGACAATGATAATCATCGTCATCATTGCGGAGCTAACGCCGACGGGGGCGCATAGCCGCATCCACCCTTTGCTTGTACCTGTGAGGATCTCTCAAGGCAAGTCGCCAGGCGGGGACTCGGCCCATCTCAAGCTCCTCACGACAGGTTTGATTGATCTGCCCAAGCCACGACTTCCTAGGTCGACCCACAGGCCTCCTCCACCCAGGGTTGTCTCGAACAGAGACAACCTGGTGGGCGGGATCGTCCTGAGGGAAGCGAGCCAGGTGGCCGTATAGCCTGAGTTGGCGATCACGGAATGTGCAGGTAATAGGTCCTGGTTGCAGTGCCGTTGGTTTGGTTCACATGGTCCCGCCAACAGTACCCCATGATCCGGCGCAAGGCCCTATTACAAAAGGCATCAAGTCGAGACTCCAAGGCGCAGGATAGTGTCCAGGTTTCACTACCGTTTAGCAAAACTGGGACTATCAGGGCCCTGAAGACATGAAGCTTGGTCTTTCTGCACAGGTACTGGCATCTCCAAATACTCTTGTCGAGAGAGTTCATGACCCCTGCTGCCAGGCCAATCCGTCTGCTGACTTCCTGGTCTGACAGCCCAGAGTTATGAACTACACTACCAAGGTATATAAAGCTCTCTGTGACTTCAATGTCCTCACCGCAAGCACGTACCGGCTGAACAGGTTCTCCTAATGTGTCCAGGAGACCCCAGGAGACTCTAGACCCAAGGGCTTCGCTTCATTACTAAATGCATCGAGAGCCACCACTAAGGATTCCATAGACTCAGATAGAATGGTAACATCATCAGCAAAGTTAAGGTCGGTAACCTTGATATTGCCCAGAGTTGCTCCACAATGACTTTGAACAGTAGCTCTGCCCAGTATCCAGTCCATGCAAGTGTTGAAAAGTGTTGGTGCAAGGACACAGCCTTGCCTCACTCCTGAACTAACAAGAAAGAAGCTTGGCAGGTCCCCACCACACTTTACAGCACTTTCAGTACCAGTATACAGACTTGCTATTAGTCTAATAATCCTTGTTGGAACTCCTCTCAGTCTCAAGATCTCCCAGAGTGATTCCCGATGCACCGTATCGAATGCCTTCTTGAGGTCGATGTAGGCTGCAAGCAGCCCACGCCCGAACTCACGACGACGCTCTATAATGACTCGAAGCGCTAGGATACAGTCCATTGTGGACTTACCAGGAGTGAATCCAGATTGCTCCAGTCTCTGATGCCTCAGTAGGTGATCTCTGATACGTCTCAGAAGGATGTGGGCGAGAACCTTGCCTGGTATACTGGGGAGTGTGATGCCTCGGTGGTTGCTGCTGTCCCATCGGTCCCCCTTCCCCTTCCAGAGAGGGATGACCACTCCCCTCAACAGGACAGGGGGAATGGAACCAGACTGCCAGATGGCAGCCAGGACGGCATGCAACTTTAATAGTTCAGCTGGGATGCCGCATATACCAGCTGCTTTACCACTCTTCAGCTTGGAGATCGCCCCCTAACTTCGGTTAGGGAGGGGGCATCCTCACTGATGGGTGGGTCCGGCAACGGAATCTCGGCACCACCCGCATCCAAGTTAACTGCTGATGGGTCAACCTGGTACAACTGCTCAAAATACTCAGCCCAACACCCGCACCGCAACAGGATCTGAGACGATCTGACCACTTACTGAGCGAACTGCTGTCACCTGTGAAGAGGGCTTGGAGTTCAGCTTTCTCAGGGCTTGGTATGCAGGACGAAGGTCATTTACTAAGAAATGGCCTTCTACCTCCTCTGCAAGACTCCTAATAAACTGTTCCTTGTCCCTTCTTAACAGAGACCGAGTTCTGCGCACCTGAGGACGGTGCTAATCTCGATCCCCTGCCAGACGAGCCGCACGACAAGCATCTGTGGCATCCAGTGTCTCCTGCGAGATGAAATTTCGCCTTGCTCTCGGGCGTTCACCAATCTTGAGCTGCATCAAGCGTTTCACGCTTGAAGATGTCCCACAGAAGTACAGGGTCCGTCAGATTTTCGAGCGCTGTGAAACGACCAGAGACTGCCTCAGCAAACCCCCGGGCACATTCCCCCTCCCTCAGCCTGTCCAAGTGAAACACCCTGGGGTGATCATTGGTCCGCTGGGGGGTTTGAAATGGACTCGGAGGGTAGCCACAACCAATCTATGGTCAGTACCACAGAACTCGGCACTCCTATACACCCTGCAATTCTGGAGGATCCTCCAACGAGTGCTAACGAGTATGTGGTCGATCTCCTTGGCTGCATTACCCACATCACTGTACCATGTCCAGCGATGTGGGTCTGGGCACTGGTACCAGGAGCCAGAAATCCTCAATTTCTGGGACCTAGCAAAGTCCCGGAAAAGGAGGCTATTCTCGCTGTCGGTATCAGTTCCCGAACCATGGGGACCAACAGACATCTCATAGCCAGCTCGATCACAGCCAGATACCGCATTGAAGTCACCCAGGACAACACGAATATCTCGCCTGGGGCACCTGTCTGACACAGACGCTAGTTTGGCGTCGAACATCTCTCACATCAAGTTTACAAACATCGGTAGTAGCGTACACAGCAATAAGAGACATGAAGCCAAAAGACAGCTTCAGTCTCATTACCATTATACGCTCATCGACTGGAGTAACAATGATAAATTAGAATAACAATAATAACAATAATAAGAATAGCAATAATAACAATACAAAAATAATGATGATAAAAAAACAACATTGACAACAATAACGATATTGTTATATATTCTGTAAAATAATAATGATAATGATAAATATGATTATAATAATATAATCATAACAACAACAAAACAACAATAATAATAGCAATGATAATAATCATAATGATGCTAATAACAATAACAATGAAAATATTATTAAGGCTGATGATGATGATGGTGATAATGCTAATGATAATAATAATGAAAATAATAGTAAAAATAATGATAATAATAATGATAGTGATGATGATGATGATGATGATGATGATGATAATAATAACAATAACAATGATAATAATAATGACAATAATGATAATAATGATATGATGATGATGATGGTGTTGTTGATGATGATGCTAATGATAATAAGAATGATGAGAACAACGATAATTTAAAAAATGATGATAACAACAATAATAATGATACTGTTAATGATATTAGCCAACAAAAGTAACAAGTACATAACCATTAACTACAACAACAGCAGCAGCAACAACAACAGTGACAATAGCAAAAATGATAGTGCTAATAAAAGGTATTTAATAATAGCTACAGCAATTACAGTAAAAAGAACATTAATAAATGGCAACGACATTAACAACAACAATGGCAACTATTATCGCCAAGACTAACAAAAAGAAGCAGAATAGGAGATGAAAAGAAGAAGAAATAGAAATAAGTAAACGAAAAATAAAAGAAGAAAAAAGAAAGAGAAGAAGCAGAATAAGGAAAACAGCAGCAGCAACAACAACAAAAACACCACCACCAACAACAAAAAAAGATAAACAACAACAGCAGCGCCACTTACCCACAGAGAAGGGCAAAAACCCGTCCCTTTTCGAGAGGACTTTGCCCTGGTCGTCCAAGAAGTGCTCCGGGTAGAAGTCCAGGGGGCGTTCCCAGTAGGCGGGGTCGGTGTGGCAGCAGTCGATGTGGCTCATTATGAGGGCGTCCTGGTGGGCGTGATCGTAACAGTGGGTGTGGTGGTTAGGATGGCAGTGGTATTTTTATTAGGTTAGTAATGGTGTTGGTGGTTAAAAGAGTAATAGTATCGGCAATTATGATGGTAATGGTAGCGGTAATTAAGATGGCAATTATGAAAAGGGGCATGGTAATTATTGCGATAATTAATAATTAATAATGATTAAGTACTGACGATTGTGATGGGAATGACAATGGTTTTAATGATAACATTGGTTACGATACTTTATAATAATAATGGTAATAATCATAATTCAAATAATTACTGTGGGAATTTTGATAAGGACAAGGGTCTGTGATAATTATATATTTGAGTCTTTCTGCGTCTTTAAGAAGGGTTATTATGTTTATTATCAACTTATACACGCAATGCAGAAAAATATTTGATTTAATCTGGCCAAGTGGAAAGGAAGAGGAGGGAAGAGGGAGAACGGGAAAAAGGTAGGAGTAAATGAATGAAAGGATGAAGAGGGAAGAGAACGAAGGACGGGAAAAAGGAAGGGAAGGGATGGAAAAAATCAAAAGAAAATATATTATGAAAAGCCACTGCCTCTAAAAAAATACGAAAAAAGGTCAACGATGTCCACCAGTCACCTTGGGAATGACGAAGCCCTCGAAGGGCGTGTCGCGGGCGGCCGAGTGCGCGAGGCCGAGCGGGGCGAGGCTGGTGACGCGGAGGCACTCCAGGATGGTCGCCTCCAGGTAGGGCAGGCTGGGGGCCAGGGGGCTGCTGTTACTGTCTCTATCAATGTACTATATAGATCTACACACACACACATGTATACATATATATATATATATATATATAGATATATATATATTATATATATATATATATATATATATATATGATACATTATAACTGAACACACACACCTCGCATCCCCCCCTCACCTCATCTTATCCTGGGTCGTCGGCAGAGCGTCCGCACAGACCGCGTCGTCCAGCTCCTCCTGCACCTTCTTCTGGATCTCGGGATACTTGACGAGGTGCAGGATGATGGCCTTCAGTGTGAGGGAGACGCTGAGGGTCCCCGCTATGAAGAGGGAGGCGACCCCGCAGCGAAGGTCGAGCACTGGCGAGGGAGAAGAGGGAAGGAGGGAGAAAGGAGGGAGAAAGAGGAGAGGGGAATGGCGGGTGGGTTGTAATGATGCTTTTGGGGAAAAATATTATCGTTGGTGTTTTATTGTCATTCATCTTTGTCATCATCATTTATAATGATGATGAAAATAAATTGTAATGATAATGTTAATAAGGATTATACTACTAACAATAATGATAATGCTACTACTACTACTACTACTAATGGTGATGACGATGATAAATAAATTAATATAATATTAATGATATTGATAGTGATAATAATGATGACATGATAATTGTTATTATCATTGCTATCAAACATCACAAAAATGATAAATATTGTGATTATTACTACAATCATCATTACTTGTTATCATAAATACGACTACGACGATTATCATATTTACTTTCTACACTGTCATCACCATTAACATCGTTATCATCACCATCTTCACCATCATCAAAATCACTATCAACACTTTCATCACCAAAATTATCATGATCATCATCATCATGACCATTCACATTCACCATCCCCACCTTCATCACCACGATCATCATATCTTTACCGCCACCATCATCACTCTTTCTCATCACCCCCCCCCCCCTAAAAATCTCTTATAAACAGTCACTCACAGGTGCAGCTCGGTCCTCCTTCTGCTGCGCCTCCATCTCGAGCAAGTACGAGTCGATGTAGTCCCTTGGGTTGAGGGGGGTCGAGGCTCTCCTGGTGCTCCTTGATCACTCCTGGTGGGCGAGGGA